ATATGAGTGGGCTCTTCCACTGGTACTTAGAGGTCTATTGTGGCTTGCTTACATTAGCATAAACAGTCATCCTGCTGTTTCATGCTGGAATGCATAAGTCCAAGTGGCTATTATAAAATAATCTAATACTGTATTCTAGAATAAAAATACAATCGTAAGATAATGCCCTAAGTAAAACACTAACAATAAGTATTTATATCTTAATAAAAAAACCTAGGTAATCAAAAATAATTATTTAAAAATGATTTTCTAGCATTTATCAATACTTTATAAATATCCAATAGTATATATTTAACTAGAGTATACCTACCTACATAATTGAAATACATATATAATATACCAAATACACCCAGTGTTTGCTCTTAATATTATGAAATAATTAAAATACAATAAAATAGGTATATGTAAAATAGTATTCTAAGTAAAATAAATAAAAGTAAAGTAAAATAAATAAGTAAAATAGTCTATTCTAGTAATTGAAAAAGACTGTAAGACTTGTACACACTTCTAAATAGGTCTAACTGGTAAGCTGGTTTTGTATGTTTTCAACAAAATTGATAGTGTGTAAATTAATTTATTAATTAAGCTAAGTATACTTTCGACATAATAAATGTCATCATCAGAGCTATCCTAAAATAACGTTAAGTTAAGTAAATTTTTTATATAAAATACAATGATAGAAAAAACTTACGTCAATTAGGCAATAAATACTTCATAGAAGGAAAATTGTGCACAAACGACATATTAAATATATATAAACGACATATAAAATTAACCATCATTTGATCAAGCTTTGACCTTTATTTAAAAAAAAAAAGAGATTAAAAAGAGAGAATTTCTTATATTTTCTTTCATTGATTTCATCTACATAGAGAATGTTTGATATTTTCTTCTTCATTATTTATTTTATTAATAATATCGATAATCAATAATAGCTGTTGAACTCTTAACTTAGCAAATGATACTTCTCCTTGGTTGGTTTTCATCTACTTTCTTCTATTTGGTCAAACTTTAAAGTTTTGTTTTTTGATAAATTTGATAAATGTATATTTTAAATCTTCACGTTAACTAATCAATTTAAAATATTTAAATTTAAAATTCTACAGTAGCTAAAATTAATAATCAATAACCTTCAGACGTCATTTTAGACATTTTCAATTTTTAATTAATAATTTAAATACAGAGGTCGCTCTCGGATTTATTTCCGTATATCCGAGCTTCCTATTTCATTTTCATTTTACTTCAAAAATGTAAGTCAAAGACAGCTGTTGTCGTTACTGTATGTGGTAACCATGTTTTTATAAAAACTTTTTAATGTGAATTATACATATGTATAAGGGTTAGACCCAAGATCTGTGGCCTACAGAGCCCGATCTTTGAATTTTAATATGTCGTTTGTGCACAATTTTCCTTCTATGAAGTATTTATTGCCTAATTGACGTAAGTTTTTTCTATCATTGTATTTTATATAAAAAATTTACTTAACGTTATTTTAGGATAGCTCTGATGATGACATTTATTATGTCGAAGGCATACTTAGCTTAATTAATAAATTAATTTACACACTATCAATTTTGTTGAAAACATACAAAACCAGCTTACCAGTTAGACCTATTCTAGTAATGTCTAATTTTGTAATATATTGTCTTTTTCTAATTACAATTATCACTGGTACCATAGCCCTAAAGAAGAGCTTTCATTGCTATGTTATACAAGTACTACCTAGTTATAATATAGCTACATATATTTTTCTTTAAAATAAACTAACAGTAAAACTGCAATAGCTGTTAGTTCGTTGGCTACAATGACTTATAATTTAAGGACTGTGTTTATACAAAAAATGAGTAAGAGATGTTTATAGATGTTTTTATCTTGCAAATAGTCATTATGGACATGGACAATTACAACATTGTATCTGTTTTTTATAATTTTATCAAATGTATAAAGGTAAATTGTCTGTTTGACATCCCAAACTACATTTATAAAAAATTTGAAAGAATAATACCAGCGATTTCTTGTCTTTAAGTAACTATTAATCCAAAGTAGTAATGAAGTAAAAACACAATACTACTATTTTGTTTATATATATATATATATATATATATATATATATATATATATATATATATATATATCAACCTGACATCTCAGTAGGCACACCAGAAAACGACTCCCATAATGTTCCTTCTTCCCTTTACTTTACTACTCTCTCCCTTATTTCCCTCATCTGACTGAGAAGCTCGCAAAACTCCTAACATCTACACCAATTAAAATTGGAGTTAAAAATGTCAGATCAGTTGGTAAACTTTTCTCTAAAACTAAAACCCCTTTAAACCCGTTGGAAAAGATCAATGTGGTTTACAACATCCCCTGTATGGATTGTAACCTATGTTACATTGGCCAGACTCGTAGATCCCTTAAAGGTCGACTTACTTCTCACAAGAGTGATATTAGATGCCAAAAACATTCCAGTACCTTAGCACAACACATTCTTATGTCTGACCACCGACAGGTTATGAACATGTTAAAATTCTCTGCACAGAAAGCAACCATTTCAAGAGAAGCTTCCTTAAAATGTGCCACATTTTCCTCAATCCTTCCACCATGAATAAACGTACTGACATCGACAACCTCAGTTTATTATACCATTCTCTTCTCTCCAATATCAAATGAGGAATTTTTCGACGTTCTTTTTGTCATCCAGACTGTTTCATTTCCGTTTCCTTTGATCATTTATTATCACATCCCAGCTAACTATCAACCTTATCTTTATTTCCCACTAGTACTTACTCTTATATCCAACCTTTTACATTTATACTGATGCATTCCTAATTTACATCTAAACCTTCACTTATTTGACAATTCATATTTTCCCTCCCTGACTAATCGCCATAATAAATTTTAGATTCTAACCTTTCTTCACTACATATTTCTGTATGGATTTCTGTATTTCGATATTATATATATATATATATATATATATATATATATATATATATATATATATATATATATATATATATATATATATAATCGGAAAAATTTTCGCGGTTAGTACAATGAAACCTAGAGCTAAGATTAATACTATTACAAAAATTAATATTAAACTCACCAGTCTTCCGGGTTGAACCGCGTCGATATCCATTTTGCCGAGCTTTCGACATCCTCTGATGTCTTCCTTAGGGCTTCCGAGGTCTCAGTCTCCCGAGTCGCCAGACACTACTACTCTGGTCACTGATCATTACACTGTCACTACTGTAGTGACATCAGTAGTGACAGTGCAGTGCAGATTGTAGAAAATAAGTGTTGTCAGCAAAATAAATGAAAATGTTGCATAACATTGTTCCCAACAGTACAAACCTTAATGTTATTGAGACATTGTGGCATAAGATGAAACAGAAATTGCTTAATGCTCCCAAGAGAACCGTCGCCGATTTGAAGAGTAATTTAGGTGAATTATGGGAAAGTTTCGACCCTGACTTAACAGACAGAATAGTCACGGTTGTAAAGGCGCGTGGCGTTGTAACCACATATTGAAGTAGTAATTTCTTGAATTGTCCGAATATTTAGTTGTCATGTTGTTAGGCAACATTATCATTTACTTTGCCACCAATACTGCAATTCAAAGGTTTATAGAGACCAAACCATTTCAATATTTTATTATTAATGATATAGTTCTCTTTATTATGAATGATCTCCTTCTTTGGATTCATAAGCAAAGTTGTGAAGATGAATATTTTCAATGCATTTTCGTTTGCCTGAACAATTAGTTTTTAGAGCTTGTATAGGGAAGTATGGTATAGGGTATAGGTAACAGAAAAATCCAACTTGTTAGAGTGATATTGGACTACATCAAAGAGAAAACAACAGACCAAAATATGGCAGAGACAGGTGAGATAAAACCTAAGAAGGAGATATTAAACTTTGGGAAGGAGGTAAAATACAAAAGTAGTGAATACCAGTAAACACATAGAACAAATAAAACAAAACAAAAGGGTATCAAAGACAAAAATACTTTAAGCGTAATATCAAGAGGAACCTATGTAGCAAGTTTCAAAACTCTAGTACTATTACTTGAATGAGAAGAATATGAGAGGGAAAAGACCTATTTACTCCAAATTCAATAGGGTTCTATATTACATCAAGAGAAACCTATGTACTATGTTTGAAGATTCTATCACTTTTTCCTCAAGAAAATGAAAAGGCATCATAAAAACACGAGAAGAATGAAACCTATCAACCCCAAATTTAAAAGGACGCGCAGGAGGAATGTAATCAAGCAATGTCACTAGATCTTTATACTTTTATAAACCTCACAAAAACTTGATTTGATAAAGCATAACTCTAAATGAGGAATATCTAGAGGAATCTGTCGGCTGAGGAAGTAAATTAGGGTTGGGCTGTTAGTGTGTTTCAAACTTCCAAATATTTAAAGGTCATTTCTGCTGAAAAGTGAAATTCTGAAAATTTGTGGGTTGGGCCAGTATTGCGTCTCAAAGTCAATAGCGTGTCCTTATGTACACAAAAGAGATTTACATAGTTTCAATACTCTAGGATTTTTTCTTCTCACACAGACAGAAAGCCGCCAGACGGACATCTTGATTTCAATGAGGACCTGTCATGTCCTTAAATCTTAGAAAGTGCTAATCTTTCGCATAATAGAATTTAATAGCAACTGAAGCATCCAGAAAAGTCTGTATGTTTTTGAACATGAATGAATAAATTTTTGTTGTTTACCAAGTGCATTAAAATTTTTTTTAATATAATTCTTTAACGTTAAATGATATTTAGAGTTTTCTATAATCATTCATGTTGATTGTGTTTGTGATATGCTGCAATAAAAAATATAAGCCCGAATTCCAGTCGCTGAAAACTTAGAAAAGCCAAGCAGGAAGGGGATTTACTGTGCAGGGTATTGCAAATTTTTAGAAAAGGGCTCATATTAATTTTACATCGTTTATTCAAAGAATAAATGTTTTAGATTAAAGTTTTTGTTTCAGATTAGAGCTGAAGTAGTGAAAAATATTGCTCCCTATAATATATCCATACCTCAAATAGTAAATCGTTTAAGAGATATTGATCCTAACGTTCGTATTGCTGCTGTAAGGAAATGTGCTGATCTTAGTCCAAAATCTTTTAAGATACTTGAGAGGCAACATATATTAACATGTGGGATAACAGAAAATAATCCAAAAGTGAAAAATGTATTTATCGAGAATTTATTACCAAAATGGTTAAATGCATACCAAAATAATTATATATTATTTCTTAATGCATTAAAGTTGGATGCTGACGAAAATGATATTACTAATACTGAAAAAATAACCAAGGACCTTTTTTCATTGTGGCTGAGGTAATAGTTATTTAATATTATCATCTACAACAATTTATCTCTTTTATTTTGTTTTATTGTGCTGAGTTAATAGTGTAGGTAAACTTGCATGCCATGTATCGCCAGGTTGACTTATGTAAATACAGAATAATTTAAATTTCTGTTATTTGGTTTCCAACAATCACTTGTTAGAAAATGGCAAATTAAATATGACAACAAATGAAATATTTAATTTAGATTTTCTAAACTTTTAGTAAAATCAGTTACGTGATGTTTCAATTAATTTTGTTTAATGTTTGTCCTAAGAGTTTCTATTTTATTTTTGTTTCAACTCATTGTGGAAACAGCTAGTATTACCATATTCTTATATGCTTGTAACCATTTTTAGAAGTGTTTTGACACCTAAATTCTAATAAACTTTTCCATATCATCTTCTTTCATATCAAGTCTCACTTTAATGTATGCAAATTCCTAGCTTAGTTCCATCTCTTTTTGTTGTATTGATTCTGGTTTTTTGTTATATAACTTGTATATCATCTAGTTTTTGTTGTACTATATTATTCAAGAATATGTGCTTGGCGGAGAAAGGTGATGGATAGTGATGACTGGAGAGCAATTCTTGAGGAAGCAAGAACTCACGTAGGGTTGTAAAGCCGGAATGATGATGATATTATTTGCATATGTAGTAGAGACTTTATTGCATCTGGTCTCAGTTTTGAAAACTCGGATTTTTTTAACATTATCCCAAATATACTAAGTGACATAGAAATCCGAACACCCAGTTTAAATGATTTTATTTTAATAAAATTTTGTGAAGTACTTAATGAAGCATATTAAGTAAATGATTAAAATTCCAAAATTATTGCATTGCTTTAAAGTCCTTTTACCTTTAATAATGTGTGGATACACCCCGATGTGTTACGCATTCTCCAACGCGCCTAGGCATGCATCTGATCAGGTGGTCAATGTCCTCTTGTGGTATCGCATTCCAGGCAACCACCAACTCCTCTCGAAGAGCTTGTAGAATCTGAGGAGGATGTTGCAAATTGAGCAATCTCCTACCCATCATATCCCACACATGCTCAATTGGGGATAAGTCGGGAGATCTTGGTGGCCATGCTAACAATGTGACATCATTATGTTGAAAGAAGTCTATTGTGACTCTTGCAACATGTGGTTGGGAATTATCTTGTTGGAAAGTTGGATTTGCCAGCATGTCAAGATAGGGTAAAAGGTGGGGTTCTAAAACTTCATGGATATAACGCTGCGCATTCATGTTACCTCTGATGAAGATTAAAGGTGACCTGGAACCATAAGCTATAGCACCCCAAACGATAACTCCAACAGTGTGATGAACATATCTTTTAACAAAAACAAGTACATCGACCCACATACAGTGGCATCTGTCTTATCTCTGCAATTCTGCCGTTTTATTGTAGAACTTCGTTGCCCGTCTTTTATGTACAGATAATTCCGCAACGGTCACGCGCTTCGCTGTCTTGTTTAAAGATGGACTTTTAATTTTTATTTCTAACTGTTCAGATTCACAGCAAGTGTCTACCTGTGGATGTCTAAAAGATAGAGAAAAATGTTCCTGGAAAATCTTTAAATAAAATTTATACACTGAATTATTATTATTTTCAGGAAATTTGGCTAAAATAGGTCATACATAATTCGCTCATTCAATTTTTTGTCTAGGTAATGCTTCTCTTTCCTTGTGTAATGTGAAATCGTACTGGGAAAACTCCCAATATGAGTCTTAATAATACAAGAAGCTTAGAAATTCTTTGAATTCTTTTATGACTTACAGTGTAAATTCCAATGAAAGCTTTTTTGCAAACAATAATTTTGCCACCCGAGTCTGTCATAGAGTCACTAATGTTATATCTTCTATTCTTTGGATTTTCATTTCGAGGTCGTCCCTTTTTTACCTCACACTTTCCCATAAGCTCTTGTAGCATGAATCTTGTGCAGTATTGGTAAGCATGCTTCTGAATTGGGCAAGAATTTCAGCCCTTAGATCCGCATTAACTTTTTCAAAGCACTTTAAGCGACAACTACAAAAAATATATAATAATTTTACCTTTTAAAAGTAGTTTAACCATAAAACTTACCGACAGTCTCCTCCTGGTTTTCTTGCAGGTAAAACATTACCTTTATAATTTTCATATTCTTCCCACACAGCCTCGCTATCTTAATAATTTCTGACTTATAGTTGTTTTCTTTACCTCTTTTTTACATTTCTCTAAATTCAGATCATTATTTGTGCCATTCAGTGCAGCCATCTTGATCGTTTTGTTTATAAATGACTGGATTGGGTATTTATATTAAGCTGTAGTTTATTAGAGCAAGTCAAGACTGATATCGTTTCTGCTTAGAATGGTGCGTTGACATATAAAAAACCGATTTATGAAGAAATGTCAATATTGCCAAAAATTGACTCATGTTGTTTTTACATTTTAGATTACCCTGCATTTGCAAACAATATATTTTGCCATTTCTGGATATTGCTAGGTCCATCTTACTAAATAATGTCTGTGTGAGCAGTATCCGATGAGAACATCTTATAATTACATAATTACTCTGAGTTCAGTTTTATGAAGCCTAGGAGTATTTTTGCATAGCGAGCAAAAATCTGTAGTAACCTTTTTGCTTGTGCCTACAATATTTTCACAGTAGGCTGGGCTAAGTTCCTTTTTATCAGCAATTTCTTTATGTACTGGCACCCAATACAAAATAACTGTTTTTATGCTTCGCAAGTAGCTTACAGAACTATTTATAGTTCCAAGCAATTCCGAACTCACAAGTTGTAAACTTCGGAGTTGTCAGTGCATCTTGGATGTCGGTGGTATTTTTGAGTTAATGATTCTACGATTCTGCTATTACTGTGCATTTATTGATTCTTAGTGTTCCACTCTACATGTACTCCCATTGTTACCACTTCTTTAAAATTCTTTCGTTCATCTAGTTCAATTTTATTTATCAACTTGTTTAACATGACGTTTAACTTAAATTGTTTGTCACTGCTTCCCTAATTTTTCTAGATTCAATAATTTTATATTTCAGATCCACGCCAGTTACTGAAATTATTTCTGTACTGCCACTTGACGAAGTAACAAAAGTCATTTCCTTGAATAAACTTACCAGTGAAGCTGTTGCAGTGTGGTACAATTTGGTAATGTACTTAAGGGACGATGGAAGTAAAGAAGAATATTTAGATGATATACTTCCTGATCTTACTCCATTCTGTAATTATGTTGAAAGGTAAAATTTAAGTATTAAAAACTTTGTACTCAATATTTACATATTCTCTGTTGTAGTATCATAAATGAAAAATCAAAACACAAAATGGAAGATTGGGAGTATTTAGACTACCAGTATATTTTGAATAGTTTATTTGGAATTGCTGCTGGCTATGACCTTGCAGATGAAGTAGGTATTAATTATAATTTTGTTGATTATATTATGGAAAGTGTCTATAGTCTTAATATTATTCTGAAGCTATACACAACATTAATAAATTAAAGAAATATTATTTTTTATTACTTTGTGAAAAATTCTACTAATAATTTAATTTTATCTGACTTATTCATCTTCATAATTCAGATATATATATTAAACATTTTAAAGTAGACTTTAAATGATATTGCTAATATTGCTGAGTTTCGTTCCTGGGACGACTTTATTGTAAGGTAGTTCATTCGATTACATGAAATCAACTTTAACTTAAGAATATCCGTCAGAAAAATCATAGCACGTCATTCGTCTTTAAAAAGGCAATCACATGCCATGATGACAGTAAAATTCTCCTGTATCCACATACGGATAAAGGCAAAGGAAATGGTGATGAGGTCAAAGTTCCATAAAGTTACAGGTAACATAGGTGTATGGTTCTTTTATGACATAAATATACAGTGTGTCAATTTTGGGATATTTTTTAAAATATCAGGTACTAGGTTTCTTCGATACTATGTTGTATGGGTTTATTTGTATAATATCTTATAAACTCCTAGACAAAATTATCGAACCAGTTTAATTAATCTAAATATTTACAATATGAACACAAAATAAAACTAAGTTACATTGAAATAATAATAAAAACCTACAAATAAGTCCAACATGACTTTATCATGACCTTAATTTGCCTTTTTGTTTCTGTAAAAAATTGTTTTTGCCGAAAATGCGTAAATAAGCTAGCATAACTCCAAATTGCAAAAAGAAAAAAATCACTAAAGTAACAATAAAATGCATCTGGGTCAACACTAATACCGTGTAGGCCCTCCTCTACTTCTTATGACTACATTTATTCGTCGAGGCATGCTTGATATCAAATGTTCAACAAAAGCTTGCGGAATACTCTACCATTCTTCAATAACGGCCTCAATGAGTTGGTTGTGATTGGCAATAGGGGGTCTACAACTTCGAATCTTTTTTTTTTTGAGATAGTCCTATAGGATATATAGTTTGCTCTATAGGATTGATGTCCGGACTATTAGGTGGCCACTCTAACAATGGAATATCAACATCATTTAGGTAGCCAATAACCTGTTGAGCTACATAAGGACGAGCGTTGTCTTACATGAATAAAAAATTAGGTCCAAGAAACGAAGCAAAAGCCATTACATGTTCGACAATAATGTTGTCTAAGTAATAATTGTCATTCATAGACCTCGTACGTATGGGGACCAACTCCGTACCAGCTTCAAAATATCATTCCCCCCAAAAAAATTTAGAGCCACCACCAAAAGGTACTTTGGTAATAAAATAAAGAAGAGATATTGCTGCTGGCAAACCTTTCTCCTCGCCTTCGCCAGACACGCTTAGCGCTTACTCTAGTCTCACCGGAGAAAAGAACTTGTTTCCAATCATCGATGGTCCAATTTTGATGCAATCTTGCAAAATTCAATCTCTGAACCCTGTGTTCTCTGGTAAGCAAGGGTTTTTTGACCGGTTTCCTGTTGTTCAATTCTACTTCATATAAACGTCTTCTATCTGTTCGAGACGATATCGCGACATTTCGAACATCTGCTTGTTCATTTTTTATCAAATGACTGGAGACTCTCCTATCTCTGAGAGCACGTTGTCTCAAAAAACGATCATCAATTTAATTAGTGCAACGTTTTCGCTCTTGCCCTGGTCTTCGATGGTACGACCCTATTTCATTATATCGCCTCACCTTCCGATTGATGCTGGAGTAATGTCTCATCCATCGACAAGTTTCTTGGCGGTTCATTTTTTTATTTGATTTTTATGCAAATGAACTTCCAAACTTGCATGTGATGTAAAATATCATAATTAAAAGCTTGTTTCTCACAAGCACTTTGCTTTAATCGGCACTTTTTATGAAAAGTTTAACTCACTTTTAGTCTAAAACGAAGTTTCATACAAATTATTGTTAAAACAAGAACAAGACTATTATTAGCTTACATAACAACTGTCACTGTCAAACAAGGTCCATAGGCAACTTGTCGTACAGTAAATTATCAATAAATAAAGATTATTAAGAAAAATATGAGTGGTGCGTTAATTTTGTCCAGGAGTTTATATCTTTTTTATTTTCAGTGATTAATCAAATTTTTACAATGTTTTAGGTTGGCAGAAAAACTTTAAATCAGTTAACGCTAACATTATTGCGGGAAGAAAATTTATTATTGAACCTCAAAAAAAAACTGGTAACGTTATGTGCACAATCAGCTCAAAAGACTGAAGATATCACGAACATAATGTGCCACGTAATATCTGATATTCAAGCACCACTTACAGAAGTGCAAGTTGAACAAAACCCTGTAGAACAGACAAATAAGGTTGGTATATAAAATATCTCCCGGAACTATAAATCTATGGTGTAGTAAATAACTTGCGTTCGACAACTGGCTAACGTATTAGTGTACACCTACATTGGAACCGTATTTCTCCCGATCCGATATCTGGCGACGTCGGATTAAAAACAAACTCAAGGTATTAAATCAGAGTGCCTATATTGCTTCGTCATGGAAGCAGTATAGGCACTATGATTTAATACCTTGAGTTTGTTTTCAATCCGACGTCGCCCGATATCGGATCGGGAGAAATACGGTTCCAATGTAGGTGTACACTAATTCATACAACGACCATATTTTACATAGGCCTTTCCCTTTCTGAATCATATGGAGATCAAAATTTTAAACTTATGGAGTCATTAATATTGGTGTCAATAGTTTTCTTTCTTTTTATGACTATTATAAACTTGAGTTTATACTTTTTAAGTTTCATTTTTTGAATCAAAATCAGTAGGTTTAATTAATATTTGAATATAGTAAAGGAAAAGACCAGTAGTTTATGCCCGAAATTTTTGTAAATAACAGCATACTATCACAATTTTAATGTACATGTGTATCATCATGCCTACATGCACAGATTGATGTCTATCTATAAAATACACTGCCAGCATAAAATTAGAATTTTTAATAGTAATTTGAATTTATTTTAGAACTTATTATTCTTTTTTAACTATTTGTTTACTAATTGATTGCTTGAAAAAAATTGTTGTGGTTAATGTTTCGATAAGCATTTGAGATAAAAAGGGCTCCTTACCCTAAAAACCATCATCAGCATAGTTTTTGTTTCTGTGGTATTAACATCAATTGTAAAATGTTTGTGTAGTGTTGGACCGCCGCTCTCCCGTGAACACCGAATTGACAGATTGAATTTTGCACGACAACACTTGGCTTGTACAATACAGGATTGGAGTCGTGTATTGTTTTCCGATAAACCTAGATTCTGTCTTACAGGCTCAGACAAACGTGAGTGTGGTGACGTCCAGGAGAGAGATATGCTCAAGCATGTTTTGCCGAGCGACTTCCATTTGGTGGACGGTCAGTTATAGCATGAGGAGGGATATCGTTTGACGCTCACACGGGGTTAGTCTTTATCGAGAATGGGACATTGACTGCGCATAGGTACCTGACAGGTTCTACAAAACCATGTTTTGTCGTTTATGATTATTCTTGGAGAGGATGCAATATTTATGCATGATAATGCACGGCTATACTGCTTGGATAGTCACTGAGTATCTTGAGGAGGTTAAAATCACACGATTTGTTTACCTGCTCACAGTCCAGGTATCAATCCCACAGAACATGTTTGAGATGAGATGAAAAAATGTTTACGGAGTCATGTGCCTCAAAAATCTTACGCAGAATTTGATCCAAAATCTGATCCAAAGCATGCTTCATAGTTTGCAAGCTGTTATCACAGCCAGAAGAGACTTCTCGCTACTGAAGTTTGTAGCACTACAAACGTTGGTTAGTTTGAGACACACAAAATGAAAGAGGCCGCGTTGCTCAGAATCGAAAGAGATTGCGAGTGGTTCTTTGGATATTTCCTTTGGTACACAAACTAAAGTTGAATTGGGGAGACAGAAAATAATACAAGGTATAAGAAATATTTAATGAACAGATTAAATAAACAAGTCGAAACGGCGCCACTTCATAATTTTTCCACAAAAATTTCACCAGAAGGAATATTAGCGAAAATGGACAAATATACTATATATTTAAAGACAAAAACGTTGTCTTCTTTAGTAAACTATTTTACAACCTTAGTAAACTATTTAACAACCTTAGTAAACTATTTTACAACCGAAAGTAGTTAGAGAGAAATAATAATTTCTAAAATAAATTCAAATTAAGAGGTAATTCTAATTATGCTCGGCAGTGTATTTGCTTTACGTTTTATATAATAAAAGCTATTTTGTCGGACTATGTACGATTCTTATATATTATATTTACTGGCAATAAACTACGGTCTTAATTGAAAATACGTTATTTTGACGATTTAGGGTTTTCAACCAAAAATTAATCCAGTGAATATAGCACCGCAACTAACAAAAGAACTTTTCGACCGAACAACTATCGAGAGAAAATGAATAGACTTTTGCCAGATTGTCACCCTACATTATATTACAGAGAATTATAGGTATATGGTGCCTATTTTAAGTTCTGATTCTTACAAAACGTTTTACTAATAATTATGTGATTCTATTTAAAGTATGCCATAAAAAGTAATACAGTAGAAGCTCTTTATTCACGGGATATATGTTCCGTAAATATACCCCGAATACAAAAACCGTGAATATGGAATGGTAATTTATATGGGGTTATAGGGGATAAAGTCCCTAGGCGACGAAATAAATAAGCAAATATATAAAAAAATCAATATAATTGAAGTTTTTGATCATACATATTAATTAATTACATATTATCTTCGGGTTTGGCCAATGGTTTAAAGAATTTAGTAATTTTCTCTTGCTTCTCAGTTTTAAAATATCCTTCAATAAACAATGCGGTAGTTTAGCTGTATCTTTTGTTGCCTTAAATCCCTTAAATTTTATTTGGCAATGACAATTTGGTAAAATAGTGCTGTTTCATCCGCATTAAATACTTTTAGGTTCACAAATTTTTCTGGATATCTTTCTGCTACGAAAGTGTCTGCAGATGCTGCTTCTCCAACGATTTTAATGTTATACAATCATTGTCACAACTTAAATTTATTGAACTAACCTTGATGCTTGAAATTCTCTTGAAACACCTATATAAAAACTGACGAAAGTTGCACTCTTCACCTTTAAAAAACACATTTTGATTATTATCGATGATGTTCTAATCAAACGATATCGAATTTATACCGTCGAGTTGATACAAATTTTATTTAAAAGTGATTCGCGTGCGTAACTTACATTCAAAATCTCCGGTCGCTTCAAGCTTTGTTTCTGAGAAAACGGTTCATTTGTCATAAAAAGTGCTATTTATTTATTGTATGGCAATTACAACACATTTAGAACAAAACTACAAACACTAATAATACAGGTATATGACAAACTTTAAATAGTTACAAACAAACATCAAGTGTATTAATATAATCAATTGACTCTGAAGTTGCAAACAGGAAGTCTTCAGGGCTACCATTGTACCATCTTGAGGGACACTCTTCAATAATGTGGTCGATGATTTGGTTCTCCCCACAGACTGGTTCTTTCCCCATTTATGTAGCATGTATGCACGCCTGCCATGTCTGGTTCGGATCCTATTTAGAGTGGACCATGTTTTGCGTGGAAGATCAAAACCTGGTGGCTTGTGGGTAATGCAGGGCATGTTATTTTGCCATTCGTTCCATTCTTGGGACCATGCATTCGTGATGTTGAACTCCTCATGTATCATTCTTGCCGTTTTCATTGGTGGTTTTCTAGAACGGAGACATGGGATGTGATTTAATACTGGAAGCCATTGGGTGGGAGTTGATTTAATTGTACCAGCTATCATACTCATAGTGCTGTGTGCTGAATGTCGACCTTTTTTACGTGTGGACTGTGTAGCCAAACTGGAGCACAATATTCAGTTGTCGAGAAAACAAGGGCTAAGGCAGTAGAGCGGAGAGTGGAAACCGATGCTCCCCGAGGTGGTACCGCAGAGCTTCTGTATAATATTATTTCTTGTACCCAATTTTTGGGCAGTTTTTGTTAAATGCTCTTTAAATGATAGCGTTCTGTCTAATGTTACGCCTAGGTACTTCGGTGTTTTGTTGTGGGTAAGTAAGTCGCCACTTGCGAAAATATTTTCCCAATATATATAAGTCTGCCGTCAGAACTTCTTCAGACGTTTCTAGTGTTCTGCATCGTGTAGTGAGGGCCCAGTCATCGGCGTATCAGAACTTTCTTGATTGTGTTTCCAGCATATCTGCTAAGTATAAGCTAAATAGTAGTGGAGAGAGTTCTGACCCCTGTGGTAGGCCATTCTTAAGTTTCTTTGGTGGGCTGATATCTGTTCCCATCACTACTTGAAACATTTGGTCGTTGAGCCTGCTATCTATTAAGCGTACTATTGGTTTACAGGGGATTGCACGGAGAATTTTGTATATAAGGCCCTCTCTCCATACTGTATCGTAAGCAGCCGAGAGATCAATAAATGCCGTTGAAGTTTTAAGTCTTCTTTGGAAACCCGCTTCGATGTAGGTGGTGAGTGACATTACCTGGTCCGCGCAGCATCGTCCGAGATAAACAGTTCTGTACTGATTCTACTATATATAAGCCTCTCTAATAGTTTGTAGATGGTAGAGAGAAGCGCAGTTGGTCTGTAGTTTTTTAGGTTGTCGCTGGGTTTGCCTGGCTTCAGTATGGCTATTATCTTAGAGCACTTTAGTTCTTGTGGAATATTTGAAGTTTCCATGATGTCCGTGAAAAATCGAGCCAGCCAAACTTTTGTATACTTGCCACAATTTATTAGGAATTCAGGGTGAATATTATTAAATCCTGGTGCTTTTGCTGGCTTAACGTCTTTAAGAGCTTCTGATATGTCTTCGCTGGTGAAGGGGAGGAATGCTCCGTTTCTGTGGCTACATGTTTTAAAGTTTTAAGTTCTCTCTTTACGTAGATGGTGTGTGCTTTATCCTTTGGTGCCCTGGATGGTTTTACTATATGGGATGCTCCGGCATCTGGCTTTACGGCTGCGTCTCGTACGGACACTCCCTAATTTTCTTAGTAATGACCATGCCTGTCTGCTTGATTTCTGGAAGTTTAGATTTTCTACTGTTTCGGTCCACTTTTGGCTTCATAGAAAGTGCTAATAAACATTTTTGTTCAAAATTATCTCAGCTACACTTTTTTTAAATTTTTTCTATGGCGTACAGATTCTTGGTAAATGGATTTTTCCGTTTCCCCCCTACGAGGGGGCGTTTTAGGTGGAAGCCGAGTCAAATCTCTGATGGATAAATTTTAATTATTTTTTAATAAAATAATATATTATACACCAGACGTTTTTACTTATTGTAAGTTTTTTTTACCTAAACATTATGTTTGTTTTCATTTACATTTACATTTTCAAATACACATACCGCGACGAAAGCGTCTTACCTTAAAGGAAACGCTGAACCAAACAAACAACGCCGATAGCTTTTAAAAACTCAATATAGGCGTAGTTGTAATAAGGTCAATTTTATTTTTTTTTATTAGTCCACTTGCTGCTGATGCGTTGACAAAAGATACCGAATGCTTATTTAGGTATCTATGCACCTATTCCATCTGCGAATAAAGAAATTTTAGGCTGCGATCATAGGAATTGAATCACATTTTTTCGATCCGTGAATAGTGAAAACGCGAATGAAGGAAGCGCAAATAAGGAGCTTTTACTGTAATTATTTTTTTTTTAATTTATTCCTGTTAATTATGCAATTATCTTTTCACAAACACATTTATAGTATATGATTTTAGTATTTTTCCGAATATTTTCCATAAATAATAAATGTTATTTTAGGAATGTCAAAAGGCTCAAATAAAAATAAAAATTATCAGACTTGAAGCGGAATTGGAAGATGCGACAGAGAATCAGGAATATTTAAAAGCGGAAACTTTAAAGAATTCGATTAGCGAGTTAAAACGTGAATTGCAGGAGTTGGCAACATCAACTATTGAAATGGTTAAAGTGACGAAGGATGATCACAAAACTGTTTGTGAATGCTTAGATTTACTGATTTCACTGCTAGCTCTACCACATGTTACAACAATGACACCATCGTTGGTAGCTGTTAAAGACGAATTCGTAATTCCGTTGTTGAGTCGTGATGACATTGATGACGAAATCAATTGGAGAGTGCTTAAATGTATTGCGATGTTCTGCATCTTGGATGAGAGTATGGCTCGGGAGTATGTTACAAAATTGTGTATACCTTTTATTACATACAGACAAATTCCAAATTATAACAAACAAGCATTGATGATATCCATAAAGGCAATCACTGATATATTTAGAGTATATGGATACAACATTTTTGGAAGCAAGGATAGCACTATGGTTAGCAGTAATGGTAACAGGTCCAACTTGTCATTAACTACAAGTTTTAACAAAAGGAGATTATATGGAATCGACCAATCAGAGGATAGTGTCATATTAGTCAACAATTGGGAGACTATAGTCGAAGTTATTTTAAATATGTTGGATGATGAGATCTCTGAAATTCGGAATGTTGCAATAGAAGCCATATCGAAACTGATTCTCAATGAATTTCCAGTTTCTGCAACCATAATTTCAAGATTAATCCTGAAATGGTACAACCCTATGGCAGCCCAGGTACCTGACAAATCACAGCAACTCATAGGAGTGGTTTTGAGTAACTATGTCAAAAAAATTGAAGGTGCCAAAGAAGTGATAGCCAATGCAATTATTCCTACATTACAAAGTATAGTCAGTGCTCCAACAACTAGTCCCTTAGCTGCTGTAGACGTTGACAACCTGCTGCTGTTTCTTTCTAATATAATTGATGCAGATGATAGAAAGGTAAATGAATATTTACTTTGTCGCTAGCTTTCCATACGTTTAAAATACCAAAATTTAAATGCACTTCAATTGATGTTCAATTAACATTACAAATTTTTTTGATCGTATAATAATGTCTTGATATATTATAGGACCTTATAAATATTCATATAAATATGGCCCACATGTTTACCCACGAAATACTAAAGAAAAAGAATGATTTCGTTGCTATTTATCTCTCCAAACTACTACTCTATTTGGATATATCGACAGACAATGTTGCTGCTATAAAGGAATTGAAGACTCAAGTACAAAAAGTCTTGGATGTCGTAAGTATATGCTTTTTTCATGCAGTGTAGTCGGAAATAATATTCACCAGTATAGATTTATGCAAAAAAAATCGTAATTGGGTTATCTGTGAAATTATTTATAAAGAAGGTATTATGAATTAGTTTTTGGATAATAGTGTGTAAATTAGATAATGTTTCAACTGTAGTGGTGGAAATTTCTAGGAACAGTAAAGCCTCACCATACAATGCAGTGGCGTTCCAAAAAATACTTATGATTTAAATAAAATTGTTAAAGATTTGGCAATATTGTACTAAACGTCACAAAGGTAAACAGAAAAATATACGAAATGATTGTAATAAAGTAAAAAAATAATACATACATAAAGGACAGTTTGGAAAACTTATATTCACATAGATTACATAGGTATATAGGTAATGTTAAATTATATTATTCACTTTCATAATCAGATGCACTGTCGTCGTCACTAGAATCATTTAAATCAATCCTTAATTCTTCAGTAATTACATCTATGCGACGTTCACTTTCCAAATACTTATCTTCAATCTTGACAACATGTTTACACACTTTCTTCCAGGTATCTACAGTTAATTTAACAAATTCTTGCTCCAACACTTTTACGTCTTATAACTTAAACGTTTTATTTTGCATCTTCATTTTTTATTTGCGCCCAAACCATTTCTGTAGAGTTAAAGTCTGGATGATATGGCTGGAGTTTTAAAGAAACATGTCCACATTCTTACATCACTTTGTCAAATTTATATTGAATATGATCTTGTTTGTGTCGTTTGATGATTTCATACAATTGCGGTTTTAACATTGACGTTACAAATGATAAATTTTTTTCTGTCGGCCAAGATATCATATCTATTTTTTTAGAATTACTGGTGGGTGCTTTATTAATTTGCTGCTTTATTAATTTGTACATTATGATATGACGCATTATCAGTAACAACAACAGATACAACAGGCAAATTGTGGATTAACTGTTCTTTCATCCATTTTTCATAATTTTCTGAATTTATATCATCATGATAATCTTCTGTCTTAGCCCCTGACTTAAAAACATCAAAAGGGCATTCTGTATGAAGTCCATCTAGCCACCACCATGTACAATAACCAACCTACTTCCTTTTGAAATGTTCTTGAACAATCCTTTGCCACTGTCATTGACGATAGAACTCACACTTCCAGTCCACTCGTACACTTCTTCAAGCCTCTTCTGCAAAAGCTTCAATGACACACGACAACGTTCAGTCTCATGAAAACGATTAATGGTATTTCTAATGAACTATTTGTCATACTCCCTCAAGTCTGTCACGGTTGCTTTCCTTTTAGTAAGTGTTGTAGCTGGAAATTTTAGTGTATTATTTGACTCTGCGTTTGTTAACAAACTCGCTTGTTGAATAATCCTTTCTACTGTACGTAAAGATACTCCAATAGCTTCACTCACACGTTGTTTAATACTGGTTCGATTATCTTCAGGAAATAATATTTGCATATATTTAAAAACATTGTAAACTATTCCTTTAGATTCTGGTGTCAATCTGATCTGTTTACTCGTACTACACTTAACCATCTCCATTCTACAAAATAGTTCTAATACGCGTGGTAGCACGTTTCTTGTGGAGACTCGACAACATAATGAGACTAAATTATGAACTCGTTTGAAATTCAGTGAGTTCAGAAATTCTCGAAAATAATTATTATGCGTTCTTTGTATGTCCTTAACGAGTCGTTAAGGAGTCATTAATAATGACTTTATAATTACGGTTTTAAGGTAACTGATACTAAATTAGAAATTAACTTTTACCACTTTAACTTGGGTATTATAACAAACAAAAAGTTTGGTATCTATAAAACAATCTGTGTACAATCAAACTCCATTTATTATTTAAATAACAATTTTGTAATTCGTGCAATTTCAAATAATTAATTTGTTTATTATTGCAACGCCACTGTATGGGTCTGATCATAGCTATTCTATTGTCTGCTCGAATAACTATTTCTTGGAAGGGCTCGCCACTCGATTTGAAATAAGCTGTATAGATGTAAATATAAATTATATATAAATTGTATAAAACCTTTTAAGTAGACGTAATCCAAGGGTAAAGATGAGAATAGTTCATGTCAAAACATTTCAAAACAATTCACATTTACACCTGTACAATATTATAGTGAAATACTTAGCTCATTCGTAAATAAACTACGAGAAAAAATTGTGGTGGGTGCAATTTGTCGGGTTCACAGTTTTTGTTATATATGTACTCGTTGGCGCTTACTATTCTCTCCCAAAATCTAAAGTGTAAGGCCGCTGTTTGTTGGACCCACATAAGTTATAACAGAATCAGCAGCTGTTAATAATAACGGTGCCCGAGTCGTGAAAATGGTCTTTGAGGGTGAAGCACGTCGCATTTAAGCTATCATCATAAAATTATGTGTGACATTTGGGAGCTATGTGCGCTGGTATTTGATTATATGATAATACAAGTTGTAATTTGCAAAAGCAATATATCCATTGATCTTTGTACCAATGAATCAATCAAACTGCTAAATCGGGAGCAATTTAAAAAACGTTTTTAGGGGAACAGTAGCTGCATCATCTTTTGGTAATGGTTTTCAATTTTTTTATGTATAGATCAATCATAGGAAGTTAAATTTATTATGGTTTTTGTTCTTGACCTTATGAATTGGCAAATGAGGTTGAAATTTATTATGACTTTTGTCCTTGACTTTGCGTTTCTATCCTGACAAATAAAGTATATTTATAAAAGTTTCTAAAAGGCCTTAACCCCATTTTAGATATTCTTTAAATTTGTGTTTTAAAGAAAGCGGAAAATTCTAAAAAAGTTAGGTTGTTATATTAGTTTAATAATTTTATTATGGGAGTGATGAACCTACCAACTTATGAAAGTTTATGTCACAGCCTGTCAGATTTTTGATTTTTTTTTTTCGATGGTTACGATTTTTTTCACGCAATAGAATCTCAGTTAGTGTTATTCGCAATCTTTACACCTAATGAATTTCTTATTTTCCACAGGTCTAATAATTTAATAAACTTAATTTTTTAATACTATTATAGTTGCTTAATTTTAAAACGATGAAGAAAAAAGAAATGTTCGTTTTGAGTTTTAAAATACTTTCCTTATATATCTAAATATCTTTAAGTCTTTTCCAAAAGTTATTTCTCATACACAGCTCAAAAGTATTCACACAGAATATATCTGACTTGATATTTTCTCACCAGATGAGAGGATGACACATCGGCTTCTTCAGCTAAGTAGTAATTTTAAACTAGTTATGTAGAGACATTTCGTGTACCTACCCAACAAAACTTTTTATTGATACTCTTTGTTTCTCTCAAGCTCCAAACAATTTCATATTAGACAATTATAGACCTCCCAATATGTGTTTGATCACAGAGAATTAAATCTGTAATTTTAAGACGATTAATTTTTAATATCCATGTCAATTTTCTTCTTCTTGTTGTTGTTTATTCTGTCATTCCAGTTCTTGTTATATTGATGTCCAGTTGTCGTACCACCCTTTTAAGGGTCTTCCTAGTGGTCTTTTTGTATGGAGTTTTTGTATTTTGGTCATTTTGTGATTCTTCCTGGGTTCTGTCAACATGATCTCTTCATATGGTGGTTTCTCTTCATGTATCTTCATTCCTTATTCTATCTTTGAGAAACATTTTTTTCCTTCTCCTATCGGAGGTTGGCTATCATCACACCTATCCGTACCTTATTGGCGGCTGCTCTGAAAAGATCTACTGACCTGCAACTATACCACTCTCTTAGGTTTCTTAGCCAGGAAATTCTTTGTCTTCCTATAGATCATTTACCCTTGATTTTACCTTGCATTATGAGGCTTAATATCTCATATTTCGCACCTCTGGTAATGTGACCTAAATATTCCAGCTTTCTTGTTTTGATGTGCTTTATGACTTCGCATTCCTTTTGTAGCCTTCTTAATAATTTGCATTTGTAACTAGTTGGGTCCATGATATTTTCAAAATTCTTCTATAGCACCACGTTTCAAATGATTCCAACTTCTTTATATTATCCCCTTTTAGTGTCCAGCTTTCCATTCCATACAACAAAGTCGAGAACACGTAAAATCTTAAGGGTCTTATCCTCAGCTCCAGAGGAAGGTCTCGATTAACAAATATTGTTTTCATTTTTATAAATACTTGTCTTGCAATTTTAATGCGTGTACTTATTTCTCTACCTTGGTCATTGTTTTCATTTACCCAGGTTCCCAGATATTTGTAGATATTCACTCTTTCTACTTATTTTCCCTCGATATCTAGCCTTCCTACTGTTTAGAAATAATCATGCACTTGGTGTTCTTAACGTTAATTTGTAGTCCATATGTGATACTGACTTAATGTAATCTATTTACTAAGCGTTGCAGTGCTTCTAGACTGTCTGCAAAAACAGCGGTGTCGTCTGCGAATCTTATATTGTTCAAGATTTTTCTGTTTATTGATATACCGTTGTTTCTCTGATATTGCTTCCTTAAAAATAGCTTCGCTGTACATATTGAATAACAATGAAAACTGCATGCAACCGTCTAACACCTCTTTTGATTTCTATAGTTTCTGTATCGATATTTTCGATTCTGACTTTTGCTTTTTGATTCCAGTACAGATTGACAATAACCCGTATATCTCGACTATCCACATTCTTTTCTTTTAACAGTTTTACGAGTTTCTGATGTCAAAAGATTATCAAAAGCCTTTTGATAATCTTTAAAGCAGACATAGAGATCCTGGTTTATATCTAGTCGTCTTTGCGCGAGAAAGTTAAAAGCGAACAGAGACTGTCTCGTTGCTAGTCCTCTGAATCCAAACTAAGTGTCATCTATATCTTCTTCTATTTTTTGTATAGTCTTTCATGTATTATTTTGAGAAACATCTTAAGTGTGTGGCTTATTAAGGAAATTTTTCTGTACTGGGATCATTCTGTCGCGTGTACTGACTTTGTTAGTGTTAAAAATGTGGACAGCAACCAATATTCGGGTATTACTCCTGTTGTATATACTTTGTTGAACAGATCTAAAAGTATATGCAGTGTTTCTTCGTCAATGCATTTAATTAGCTCAGTGAGTATCTGATCTGGGCTACTGATTTTGCGGTCTTTGCATTTACAATTGCCTGTTATAATTCGCACATTATTATTTTCGGTCCTGTTTGTTCCTGTGGTTCTTCTTGTATCATTCTATCATCGTCGAATAGTTTTATTATGTATTCTTGCCAAAATCTTAGTTTATCTTTGATGTCAACAATGAGTTTACTATTATTATCTTTTATTATCCCATAGTGTACTCGCCTTTTGGTATTTGTTAGTTATTTTTTTTATATTCATATTAAAGCTGTAGTATTTTCTGTCATACTCTTCTATTTCTATGCATTGATCTGTTTACCACTTTTCCTTGGCTTTTTTTATCTCTACTTTAACTCTACTTTGTAGTTCTTAATATTTTGGCTCATTTCTCCTTTTGGCTTTTCTCCTCTTTTCCATTAATGCTAGAATTTCTGAAGCCATCCACTTCTGTTTTTTATTTTCACAATGCCTTGTGAATATTGCTCCTCTTTTCATTGACATCTTCTGATGTTAAGATTTTTTCTCCTACTTCTGTGAGATTTGAGTTGACTTGTTGGATCACTTTTTGATGTATTTCTCTTTTTCTTAATTTTGTATAATCAAACGTTGGTTTGTTTTTAGGTATTACAATCTATTTGAGTTTCACGTGCATTCTAGCTATCAGCGGGTTATGGTCTGAGTTGACATTTGCTCCGGGGTATGCTTTTACTGCTTTAACATTTTACAAAAATCCACAAGTCTATCCTCTCCTTCGTTTCTGTCACCTAGTCCAAATTCCCCAACATATTTGTCAACTTTTCCTCTCCCAACATTAGCATTACAGTCCGCATCCTTATCCGCTGTTGGTGCGTATACTTGAATTAAGTTAACTTGTATATTTTTCTTCAGTTGAACCATTATCACTCTCTCTGAGGAAGGAGTGTCTGGCCATTGTACGTCACTTATGCCTAGTATATTTATTTCCATTCTGATAATTTCTTGTATTAAATTGTCAAATTTTCGTGGCTGGTACAAGCTTCTTACATTCCATGTTGCAAGTCTTATAAGTCTACATTTATGTATTCTTAGACGCGGAATTTTATTATCTAAACGAGAATTTTGCTTGATATCGGCCTGGAAGGCCTCGTCTTTTTTACATGATCTTTTCCTTCCCTGTCGGATTTTGCTTTCCGGATTCCATGATCAGTAACGGTTTGACTTTTTTGCGTATTTGCCATGATGAATGACTAGGGATGTTTAGACCTTTAATGTAGTGGTATCTCCTTTCCTTCTGCATTCTTCTGGTGTTGACCAATTTATTGGTTCTTCCGCCTTTGGGGTCGATTTCTCAGCTCCAGGACAAAAGATTGTCCTACTACCTACCGACTCATCCGCCCGAAGCCGTTGGTCGGCAATCACTCGGTCCCTATGTGCGTTAGCCATCAACATTGATGTTGCCCACCTTCTATTAAGTGGATTTTTCCTTCATAGAGATTAAGACCTTTCGGCATTTCCTAATCTCCCCAGAGCTTAAGAAAATTCTTATGATTCTTAATAGTGTTAAGTTATCAGTTTTTAAGTTCTTTCTATCTGACCTATGTATACTTTTAGATATATACCAAAAATGGTATAATGATAGCAAACCGTGATTTTTTTCTGTCTTGCATACTAAGTTAGATAGAACTAATCGCTTATTTGTATTATATGTTATTAAGTGTATCAGTCTGTCAGTTTTTGTTAATATCCATCATTTGCTTAATGCGGCTCAGTTCAATATTGTAATTTGAATATAATGTAGAAAATTTAGAGTTGATTAAGATTTGGTAATTTTTTAATACTAATACTATAATTTTTAGGAAAGTTTGTCAGAGAAAACACTAAAGAGAAACTTATTAAAATTTCATGAAAAACTAAACGTTTCTTTAGAGAAACTCAATTCAATAGCTGAGACTAATTTGGAAACAACAGAGGTTTCCAATATGATTAATTCAAATGAACACAATAGTCAAAACGAAGCTTGCGATCAAACAACATCCTCAGAAAGTCAGCAATTGTCTCATGTAACAAATTCCACACGTCACAATACAAATTTGTCTTCGATACAGGAAGAAAATGAAGATGATCAAAATGAAGAAGCAATTGAAAACGACGTACCGAACACTGACGGTGTAGACAAAACGAAATCTACTGACGATGAAGAAGTCGTTGAGCCGGATAAAAATTTGACAAATAATAGTGCAGGAAGTGAAAAAGAGAGAGACAAGACAAAGAAAAATACAGAAGAACTAAACTCCGAGGAGAGATCAGCTGTGGAATCTTCAAACGATAGGAATAAAAGTAAGTGTTTTTGTTAATATTGTTTTAGGCATAAATTAGCTTTGTGCTCTTATTGTTGTTATGTTATCTCCATTGAGAACACTTATTTAACTACTGAGTACTGTACTCTTGAACATTTTATCATGTCTAGTTCCAGCATATGATGTTATGGGACATATATAGCTAACAATCACCCTCTCGTTATTAGAGAGGGAATGGATTTTTTACTCAACTCTCTCCCCCTGTCTATCCCTCTCCCTCCCTCCCTATCTATCCCTCCCTCTCCTTCCCTTTCTTTCTCGTTCTCCTCTCTCCCCCTTTCCACTCTCTCCATCCCTCTCTTCTTCTCCTCTCCCTCCCTCCCCTCTCTGTCTTTCTCTCGCAATAGACTGCAATTTAACATACATCGGGCAAACGCACGGTTCCTAGACTTACAACGGTTGCCTACTCCGACTAACCAATGAACATTAAGCCCGAAATTACGTCACGAGAGTACACTAACTTGAATCCTAAAGCCGGCCACTCACGGTCCAGCGGTGTCGTTCGACAAAATCGGACAACGGCGTTGTTCAATTTGTTTGCATATCTGGTGCACCCACACACCGTACTGCGCCGCAGTATTTGTTCGGTTCTCGACCGTATCAAATCAAACAATCATTTTAGCGTCTCTTGCTTTGTGTATAACTAATCGTAAAAAGAAACCTAAAATAAAAAGCAGATTTTGGTACAAAGAATGCAAGATTTTGGTCCAAAATAAATCTCGTCTGTTTCTGCAGCTGATTTACTTGACTGCAATACTAATTTTAATTCTCTTTTATAGCATGTTCTAAAATTGTTATTTTTTTTTTGTTACATATTCTTCATTCGCATCTTTGTTTACTTCTTGGGACTTTAAAGTTAGAATGTCCACTGCCCGTTTTAGGGCGCTTCTATTGTGATACGTTTTACCTATAATTCGCCATAAACATTCTTGTTCTTTATCTAATTCAAAAAACTCTTAAAAAATTCTTACTAAATCAAGCTATGTCGATTTTCTATATGATCAAAGCAAGTGTGTAGTTAAAAATGTATTTTTGCAGTATCAACAAATTGTAAACGGTCAGACACGCTCAACAAATTGACGAGATTAACTCTGCAGTACTGCAGCAGACAGGCCAGTCTGTCTGCGGACAAATTGTACGATTTCGTTGGATGCACGGTCACACACGATCAAAATCCTTGCCAATTCGTTGAACACGACGAAGTTAAACAACGCCGCTGTATCGTGAGTGGCCGGCTTTACATTGTTAATCGGCGTTTTTATGTCTTTGATGTATGGAAAATAGTAAAAATAGTTATGAAATAAAGATGTTTAGTGGATTATAATACCTAATTATGGAAAACTGTTGATGTGTAGGTAGTTTGGTACTTAAACTTAATCAGAGTAAAGTCCTAGATTTACGTAAATCTAGGTTCAATCTCCATTTTACACTGAAAATTTGTTGCATATTCTGAATTACCATCAATACTGGATTTACTATTGAATGAATTACCGGTCCTTAGAGGTCAGCTAAGATTATCCGAGTTAGAATTACTTGTATAATTTAATGTAAGAATTTAAATAATAGGTAATAAATTTTAATTGGTAAAAAACGTACACGTATAACGTTTACACTTTATAGTCTTTAACGCATGCCAAAAATAGATCACTTGAGAAAGGCAATCAGTCGAAACAGTTGTAGTAATAAGAATTTAAAATAAATTTTGTGGAAGTTTGAAAACAAAGTTTTCAGTGTTTTATTGTTACATAAAATGAATTTCCATCAAGTAACAATCGAATCCATCAATTATATATTTAATCCATTTTTTATAATCAATCCATTTTTTAGCTTCTGAACAAGATGACGAAAACCATGTTAGAACTCCGAAAAGTATATCACAAGAGAAAAGAAAAAGAACGAACGATGCTATTGAAGAGACAAATTCAGATACGGACAACAATAATAAATTTTCAAAACGAAGAAAAAAAGAAAGAAATGAAGGTAATTCATATACATATCATAGTTTTTGCTGTTTTTATTGAGCTGGATCCGTTTTTCTTTTTATCTTGATCCAGACCTTCAGAGTACTCGATTTTTAGTTAGATAGTTAGATTTTTCTACACGCACAATTCAATTGTTTCTCATTAGGTTTTTCATATTTTTCATATGTATTTTAATTGTTTCCGTAATTTTTACTAATTTTTTTGTTTATAGGTACCCATTCTGGAACTGGCGATAAGGGAACTCCGGATTTAAGTGAAGATGAGCAGGAACATTCAGATAAGAGCAAGAATCAAGAGATCATTGTGAATATTACTCCTGGCAGTATAATCAGTACCCGGACGTTGCAGATAAGACGGAATTTACGTAACAACAAATCTCCCCTTTTCATTCAAAGTTCTTCGAGGAATGAAAATAATAGTGAAATCAACAAACCTCGAAAGCGAAATGCTCCACAAAAACCATCGAAAACAAACATTGTTGGGGTATCTAAAGGTAAACATAACAAGGAAATGTATGTAAACATTACTCCATCGAGTAGGGTTGGTCGGAATGTTAACATTAAACAAAGTAAAAATATACATAAAGGTAACATTAACAATAATCCTAGTCCGAAGGTCAACAGAGGTATTATTGGTAACATTGACAGTGGTTCTTCAACTACTAGTGCCACTAGTAGTTCCAGATCTATGGGTAACAATAATATTGAAAACAGTTTTAAAAAGAACCATGATGGTAGTTCAAATAGTGATATTTCTATGAGTGGAACCCCAACTAAAAGTACTAGGAAGCAAAATACAAGTAATAATTTAAAAACTCGTATTATAAGCAACACAAAAAACGATAACATTAAGCAAAAACACAAAAAGAAAAATGACAACGTTACACAAAGTAAAAATATACATAAAGGTAACAATAACAAAAATCCTAGTCCGAAGGTCAACAGTCGTATTATTCGTAATATTGACAGTAGTTCTTCAACTACTAGTGCCACTAGGCGTTCCAGATCTATGGGTAACAACAATATTGAAAACAATTTAAAAGCGAACAATGATAGTAGTTCAAATAGTGATATTTCTTTGAGTGGAACCCCAACTAAAAGTACTACGAAGAAAAATACAAGTAATAATTTAAAAACTCCTATTATAAGCAACACAAAAAATGATAACATTAACAGAAAACACAAAAAGAAAAATAACGATAATAATACAGATTCAAGTTCGACAACTAGTAATTCTTTTAAAAGTACTAGAAGTCAAAAAGAAAATGTATCGTCTAAAGCTTCAAATTCTGAAGTCAGTAATTCTTTGTCTAGCAGTTCGATTAAAAGTAGACGAAATAAACCTATTAATGAGGAATCTTCTGGAACAAAAAATGACAGTAAGCGTATAACTGATGAAGGTTCAACTGCTAGCAGCACTTTCAAAGATACTAGAGACAAAGGTAATACTAATAATGATACCACTTCAAAATTGAATAAAAATAAAAAGTCTGGCACAGATGATAGTTCTGTGGTTAGAAGTACCAAAAATAAAGGTTATAGCAGTAATGTGGAGAGTGATGCAACTATTCTGACTAAAAATACGGGACATAAGAGTAACAGCAATAACACTAATTCAAAAACGGATTCCATTACTAATAATTCATTTACTTCTCCTGTGAGAAGTACAAGACGGAAGGGTAACGATATCGATAATGCATATCCCAATGCAAAAAGTCGTAGCAGTACAACTACGGATAGTAGTTCTACAGTTACTAGCCCAACAAGAAGTTCTAAGAAGAGTGAAAAACAGTCAAAATTGGTAGAGAATAAAAGCTTAGACAAAAACAAGAATAAGGAAAATGTAGCAAACAATAGCAGTAAAACTAATAACTATTTACGTTCTACTAGAAACACACCCCGTACTCGTAAATCGGCAGGATCAGGTAATAATTCAACTAAAGAGAAGACCAGGTCTAAAGATACAAACGGTAAAAGGATTTTATCCTCGACTAATCAACCACCTCAAGCAAATATAAGATCAATTGGCAAAAAGCAACAAAAAAATAATAGTATTACTACAACTACCCCAAATAACAATGTTAATAATACCATTACTGATAATGGTTCTACGTCTCTTAGTCCTAGTAGAAGTACAAGAAGAAAGAACAATGAAAAAGTTGCAAACAAATACAATGAAATAATGTCTCAGTTAATTTCAAAAAAGAGAAATTCAAATAACAGTCCTAAAACACCGAATAATTCAAGAAACGCTGAAAGTAGTCCAAAAGAAAGTAGTAAAAATTCGTCAAAGAACCAAAACAAAAATAATAAAAAAATAAGTAAGGAATTGTTCCCTGTAAACCGAAGTACACGCAATGAAAAAAATTTTCACACAGTGCTTCATTCAGAAACTGATGAAACAAGTTCTGAAACTGAAATTATGCAGACACCCAAAAAAATACCCAATGGTAAAAACAATAATGTAACGCTTAAAACAAAGAATAAATCTACGACCGGTAGACGTTCTTCAGTTGTCAGTAGTATCGTTAGTAAATTCAAAAAAAGGAGATTAACTAGCGAGAAAATCGGTAAAAAAACAGCAGATTTGAAACATGTTAAGTCAGACAGTGATACAGTTAGGAACAAACGGAGACATACTAGTGATGATAGTTCTGACAGAGTCAGTCCGAAAAGGCTTCGTATACGACATAAAAGGAGTTTCAAACGCAAAACATAGGCAATGATATCTAAGTACACAAATTTTAAGTGATTTTAAAATGTATTTATTTTTAATTTTTAATTAATTACCGTTTTGGTAATTGTTTATAACACTCTAGATTTTGTGGTTTAAGTAGAATACGCACATATAGCCATAAATCATGGATTTATATTTTCAACAGAGATTTATATTTTCAACAACCAAAAAATGAATATATTATAGGAAACGCGTACAGCTTAATAGAATGGAATCAATTGTGAAAACGAATATCGATTATAAAAATGTCATTGATAAAATATCTTATGTCACTATCAGCAACAATTAAAATTTTTTTGAAACTTAACATAGTAAAATTGTTATAGTGAGGGACAAGATCTATGCGAAATTTTAAAAACCGACCTACTGGGAATCCGATTTTGATACCTATTGTAACACAGACCCCCAGAGAAACATTTACAGAGTTGTACTAATCTGTATCCAACATTCAAATAAAATTATCGGAGAAAGTGTTGAATTTCGAATTATTAATTTGTGTACTTAAATTTTTTTACCAATTGAGAAATACTGATTATTTTTTAATAAACTACCTCATAATATAGTATTTAGAAAAATTTACCTTCACCTTTTTTCAAAATTAAGACGCAAAATAAAATATTTTTTCAGTTACGAAAATAAAAATTTTCTTTTGGTGGATTTACAAGATTTTTTATTAACGGTGCTAAGTTCGTCAATGAACACTTAATATATTATACAGTGAGGTCCTAAAGTAACAGATAAATGTAATTTCTACGTAATTATAAAGTAGATGAAAACTACTGAACCTGGTCGATTTTTACACACAAAAATATACGTATACAACATACAAATCATCAGTAAATATCTATCACCGTCCTAGTATAATCGAATTAACAAAAACACCAATATATTTTTTTCACATTTTATTTGCATTAATACCTAACTTAAAAGATTTAGATGTAGCAACTAACTTCATGCTGTGAATTTTATAAAAACTATAAAAAGTATAACTTCAAAAATAGTTTTTATTTACTTACATGTCACATGCCACAAAAAGTTACTCATTGGTTCTTTTACTATTATAAATTAAATGGTATACTATCCACTTCAGAAATATTCATTCATTTGGGATCTTCCAGTTAGAGTTAACAGTTATTCCAACTCATCGTCATTATCGTTCTCTTCATCACTCTCAGCCAAATTAATAATAGTTTCTTCAAGGCTGGGACATTTTTCATGTAATCTGTTTCAATCTTCTTTACTCAATGTTCTATTGCATGTTGCCAGTTTTGAGCACTGATATTTTTGAACTTTTACTGTTTTTATTAGTTCGACAACACTTTAGGCATCTTTTGGACATGTTTTTTTTTAACTGAGCCCATAGCAATTCTATGGGATTCAACACACAGTAATATAGAGGTAATCTTAAAATCATAGGTTCATTGTTAGTGGCTAATTTGTCTACAATATGTTCTTTAGTTACGACTTTTGTATGAAGAACCTGGATTAGTTGATCTTTGGTGTAATGATCCTCAAAATATAGGTCTTCGGCTATTAAAAATTCTTGAATTTCATCCTTCCTGCTTTGTTTGGTTGGAATTTTTTTAATGCATCTGGAGTGATATGATGCATTGTCCATAACAATCACGCTATTTTCTTTTAAATTTGGGAGTAATGTATTCTCAAACCACGATTCAAAAAACGTCCCTTTGATGTCTTGGTGGTAGTCTAGAGAACTGTCTTTAATACTTTTGAAACACTACAATAACGCATCGTTCACCCATCCATGTTGTCCTCAGCAATTTAATATGCAAATTCGCTTGCCTCTAGAATGGGGTTTCGCTTTATCTATCGTTTAAATGAGAATCAAACCAAGTCTTGTCCAGATAATAAATTTCTCGACACTCCCTGTGGTATTGTCAAATTTTTTCGATATATTCATTCCTCCATTTTATTAGGCGTCTATTTTCCATTATAGTTTGTCTCTTATTGACAGTTTTATATTTAAAACCATGTTTGGTAAAATATCTTCCCAAAATCTTTGTGGAACAATCATCAACAATATGTTTTTCTTTTAATTTTGCCATGATATTTTTTAGGTTAGGCATAACTTTGGCATAACTGCATACATATTATATATTGTCTCACTAATAGGTTCCAAGAGGCGAAGTTGAATTTTTTTAGAGCTTCCCAAATCCTTTCTTGTTGTCCTACTTTTCGAACCTGTCTTTATTAAACTGTACTCTGTTGCACAAGACATTTTTGTTGAAACCGCCGTTTGCTTAACAGCTTCATAGTTGCTCATTTTTTAGAAAGTCCAAATACATTGTTTACCGACAACAAAAGAACCGACATCGACAATTTGAGCCAGGTTTACCACTCTCTCATCTTACGAAATAAATAATACCAATATTTTTCATTCAAAATAGCCTTATTTTCCATTCAAAATAATAACTTAATAATCCCAGAACTCTAAGTTTCATTAAAACATAAATTACAAAAAAAAATCATATCAAATTTTTCCGTCATTGTCTCAAACCTTGGAATTTGTTGAACATATGGCCCTTAAAAACTTTCGGTATCGCGTCACGTCGTTTTGCATAGATTGCAATAAATCAGTGTTTTGTTTGTCTTCATTGGAGAACCATCTCTAAATGAAGCCAAATGTACGGTTAAAATTTTTGTAAATCTTCGTTTCTGCGAATATTTTGTGTTCTTTGTTTCTGTTTAATTTTTTTTTAAGTTAGTTCTAAATTTATGAGTAAACTTAAGTACATT